CCTGCTTATCCTTTGTGTTTCTAACACACAAAACACCAATCCTCTGTTCATTTCAGGAGTATATGAGGAAAGACAGCAAGACTAAGATATTACATTTGCTTTCCCTCACTGAAGCCTTCCATTATCTATTTGATAATCTCAATGATTCCTTGTGGATATTTTGTTTTGTGTGGGGGGGGTGGGTACCAGGGATTGAACCCAGGGGCACTCTACCACTGAGCCACATCTCCAGACCTATTTTGTATTTTATTTAGAGATAGGATCTCACTGAGTTGCTTAGGATGGCTCTGAACTCATAATCCTCCTGTCTCAGCTTCTGCAGTCTCTGGGATTATAGGCATACACCATTGCGCCTGGCTCCTTGTGGATATTTTTGATTGGAAGATGTTACCATGAATTGGCTATGCCTACAGGGAGGGAAAATGAAGAGTTTATAGCTACCAGTCTGTGTTCTAAACACACTTTTCAAGACTTCTTTTTATCTGAATCCTGAGACCAAAAATGTCCTATTAACTCACAGTGAACAATGGTTAACTTCTACTATAGTAAGGAATGGCAAAATTGCCTTTAGCCAGGTAGGATCAAAGACCAATTCTCAAGAATATGTTAACAGAGGCTTCCATTTCTAGTGTGCAAAAATTTGAAAGTATTTTGTTTAACTAATTTACTCAGAATATTCCAAAGAATATCTTGTAAATTACTGAGCTCTAATAAGTCAACTAAGTGAACCAAGAAGAGGTTTTGGGGAAACAGGTTATAACATAAACTGAAATGAAAAAGGATGCCTCATTTGCTCTACAAATTGTGCCTTTTTTCAGAATTGAATATTAGGATTATCACTGTCTGTGAAAAAGATATGAGGAAAAATACAACAGGAAAAAAGAGAGTTACAAAAAGAAATAATTAATATGAAAGTCAAGAGAAGGAAATTTGACTCGAAACACTTATTACCCCACGTCTTTATTTACTGAGCTATATGCTCCTCTGCGATAAAACGACACTGATATAATATCTTAAGAGCATTTACTACACTATTTTGAAACTAATGTCTGAGGATAAGATGACAAAGATAAACTCTGGTGCCATATTTTGTGATCTATAAATTTTACATTGAATCCATCATCTGTTCACTAAATTTTGATTTATTAAGAGTACCACTCAGCCATAAAGAAGAACAAAATTAAAGCATTTGCCAGTAAATCGAACTGGGAAGTGTCATGCTAAGTCTAATAAGCCCATCCCCCAAAACCAAAGGCCAAATGTTCTCTCTGATGTGTGGATGCTAACACACAATAAGGGGTAGGGGAGGGTGGAGAACTGAAATTCACTGGATTAGACAAAGGGGAATGAAGGGAACAGAGAGAGGATGGGAATAGGAAAGATAGTAGAATGAATTGGACATAACTTTCCTACATTCATATATGAATACATGACTATTGTAACTCCACATCACATTCAACTACAAGAATGGGATCCTAATTAGAATCAGTTATACTCCATGTATGTATAATATGTCAAAATACATTCTATGGTTATGTACATTTAAAAAAGAACAAAGAAAATTTAAAAAAAGAAAAGAACTCAGTACTATAGCTATCCACGGGGAGCAAAAAAACACAACAAAGAGTACCACTTTAGGCAAATATTAACTTTTAGGACTAAATAAATATAGTGTATAAAATAATCTTGGGATCATTAAAAAGACTAAGTGAACATTTTCTGTACTGATGGAAAGATCACCAAATATATTATGTGAGATCATGGATAAGTAAGATACTGGAAAAGTTTATATATTTGTTTCCCTAAAACATAAGAATATAGAATGTGTATGTGTGTATATATACTATATCCTGGGAAGGTTAGGGGGTAAGAAGTTTGTATTTTCATTCTTTTCTGTTATTTGTATTTTTCTTGTCTAAATAATTTTTTACATTTTTTTTTTCTTTTTGGTAAGTTACTAGCAAGTATTACCTGGTTCCTAGAATGAAGAACTTAAAAAATAAACAAAAAGGTTTTCTGAGATAAAGATATGTTTCTGTATCACCAACACTTAGAGTAGTACACAGTTGGCATTCAATGAATGTTTACTGGGTTAAGATCTGCTTGTCATCTATTTAGTTTCTAATATTTCCCGAAGTATTGACTTTTAATGAGCCCCCCTTCAATTTCCCTTTATCATATAAAAAGTGCCAAATACAATCCCTTAAAAATAGTAGCAGTAAATATAAGTTTATTCACTTCAATCATATTCTCTCTTACTTGTATGAAATGCAACTGCCAAGGTAGGGAACAGTGATTTTTTTTCTTTATTCATATTTTTAATTGGTAAATTATAGTAGTATATAATGATATAGTTTATTGTAATATATTCTGATGTGCACACAATATAACAATATAATTTAGCCAATATCAATCCCTAGTACTTTCTCCCTCCCTCCTGCCTCCCATCCTCCTGGTCCCTTTCTTCTATTGATCTTGTTATGATTTTCATGAGATACCTGCCCTCTTTCTTCTCTTTCTTCCTCTCAGCTTCCATATATGAGAAAAAACATAATGACCCTTGACCTTCTGAGTTTGGTTTATTTGACTTAACATATGGTCTCTACCTTTATCCATTTTCCTGAAAATTACATAATTTTACTTTTAGTTGAATAAAGCTCTATTGTAGTCACTTATTTTCAATGATCTATTCAATACCCATCATACAAACAATCTCCATCAATGTGTATAAATATGCTATAGGCTCATCTATAAACTTAAGTGTCTATACACTGAAGGCTCATCAATTTATCAAATCGTTCCTTGGTAGGAAAGAAATGGAAGTGACAAAATATGTGGGTATACCAACCTTCCTTTTTCCTTTCAGGCTCTTCAAAGGAACTCTTTATCTAACCTGAACTATTTAAATTCATTTTAATTAGAATATATGGTCAATGAATACTTCTTAACTGTTTAACGCAATAATCTACTAGAAAAGGTACCTGAAGAGTGATTTAAAATAGACTGGCAAAGGAGTAATGTCTTAATTTTCTTCAATCCCGGCAAGGAGCTTTTGCCAATAGCTTTATGAATAGGATTGAACAACAAGATACCAATGAAAAATGCACCACTGCTGATACCTTCCAGTTGCCATAAAATAGTGATTTTCACCTTAACTGGACTCTTTACATATTTGACAAATATCAGAAGAAATAAAATTATCATATCCTACAACTACACAATGAACTTTGATTTAAACAAGTTAGGAAAGAAACATCTCAGATCAGCTTGACTGGCTCTAGGAATCACTCCAAAAGGAAAATAAGGTGGGGACAGTGGAGAAAATAGTGTGCAAGAGTGGAGTACATTGCTCAAAAAAGAGGATCTCATTCTTAGTGGGGAAGTACTGAGGCTAAGTCTGAGACCTGAAAGTACAGAACTGGCTGCTAAGGTCCAGAAGGACCAGTGATGGCAGTTTAAAGAAGATATTGCCTGAAGAGCAGAGAATGGCATCTTGGAAGAAGGCATCCTTAGGAGCAATGATGATGAACGGAAAGAAGGAAGCAGGCAGCTGAAACTAAAGACCCTAAAATGTAGGAGGGTATCTCTGAATTTAGAAACAAGAAACATTTACCTCTGCCTCTAAATTGGGCCAATATTAAATTGCATTTCATTGTACGACAGATTAGAAAGCACATGAACAAAGACCCAAATAATATGCTCCAGAAGCCAATGCTTATCTATCTAGAGTTGTTTAATATTACTGATTAAGAAAACTATTACACATTTAATATTTAAAAAGCGATAGAACTGTGATTTCATTCAAGATTTTTCTCCTTTATTTCCTTTAGGAAAGATACATAAAAATACTGTAAGGTATCAGAGTATATAATTTAATAGAAACATTTTCTTATTCTATTTTTAAGTTTACTTTTTTCCTCTAATAGTCATATTGAATATTTTTGTACTTAGCTTAGCACTCATATATTTTCCATATAAATTAAGCAATAGCTAACTTTTTGCCAATTGTTTTTTCTTTCATTCTATCTTCTTGTATTCATAATTTTACTTTTAGGCATCTTTCCTATAAGATACTTTTCAAAACCTGGACAAAGTAATTCTAATTCAATTAACTCTATTTCATAAAACATTCTGCCACTTCCAAAGATGGTTTCACTTAGTCTTACTTCAATAGACTTCTATAATTATTACTTGAACCTCTTGGACCTGACTAAATGAAAATAATGAAAATTTCACATTCAACTGGGTTTTAATATTAAGAATAAGAATAAATAATATCATCCTTATGTACACAACTTTCTGACCTAAAAATTCATTGAACTAATATAAAAGAGAACTGCTAATATTAATAGACTAACCATGTAATCTGAAGCTTCAGTTCTGAACACATATTTTATGGAGAAATTTAACATATAAAATGTACCAATCAGGAACTCTGGATGAAGGGCTATGAGGTGCTTCAAATTCCCCAACCTATTTTGTACTTTGCTCTGCAGGCATCTAAATCCAGGGAGCATAATTTGAGTACAATTATTTTAATGCAAGCAGTCTTGTAGTTTCCTAAAATCCTGGCGGGCTAATTCTTCAACTATTATTTTATTTTAGAATATCAATATTCCTTTGGAAATGGAGAAGGCTATGGAAATGAAAGCAAACCTTGAAACACTATTCATGACAAAATAACTTAATGTCTCAGTAAATGCATAACTCACAAGATTTTTAAACAGAAGTTCTCTATGTATCACATAAAATTTTCAAATATTTGCAAAGCTTTCAGGACTAATTAGACCATTTTATGAGCAAATAAACCATACTGAAATATATAAAGTGATGTTGCATCAAATTTCAAATATACCATAATATTAAATTTGCAAGGAAATCAGATGTTATCTTAAATATTAATTCAAATTACAACAATGGCAAAAAGAAAAAAGTGTGTGAAATAAAAAACAGCCCTTTTGACTCAAACAATTAAAAAACTATGATGGAGAACTTTGTACCTTTATGCTCATTTTCAAACTCTTCAGATAAGAGGTGGTAGCAACAACCCACACTGCAAACTCCCTTGATTTCTGAATTGGAAGCAAATATTCGCAGAGTATTTGAAGCAAGATCACCACAAGTATGTAGACCCACCATTAAACATTCCTTTAAAGAAGAAAAATAAGTTTTGGCAATTAAAAGGAGGGTTAAAAACATTCAAGTCAAGATTTTAAAGATCCATTTGAATATGCAAAGCTTTATAATAAGTAATTTTTATACTTTTTTTTTAAAGGCCGTGATCTCTTATCATAACTTTTGAGTTTCTTTCAGTGTTTTTTTTTTTTTTTTTATTTTTTGTACCAGGGACTGAACTCAGGGACACTCCACTACTGAGCCACAACTCCAGCCCTATTTTGTATTTTATTTAGAGAGTGTTTTGGGTTATTTATCCATTTGTATTTCTCTGACCTCCTTTACAACCAAGTTGCAACACTTTTTTTGATGGGATATTATAATAATTTTGCTTTTCTTGTTAATTAGATAGTCTGGATAAGTTTTCCCATGCTACAGTATTATAAATAAAAAAAATTCAGTCAGGAAAGGTTTATTGTTAATTAAGGAAGTGAACAACAGTTATACATTTCTCTCTTTAAGCTTAGTTGAACTCTCATTAAAGAAAATAACAACATTTAATCTCACTGTTTACTGTATTTATCATATAGAATTATTATTAGCAGGTAGGAGCTAGGATACAAAGACACATAAATAAAAATCTAGTCTAATAGTAAAATCTTTTAAGTATTGTTTGTCAGGGGAAGGATAATAGGAAGATTGGTTAATTTGGGTTATTAAATTGATTTATTACAGGATCCAAGAAATAGTCTTGTAATTTATTTTAAGTAATTCTTCTGAGTTTATTTTTATTGTCTATTTTCAAATATTTCAAATAGATTTGGAGAAACTTGAAAAAAAAGTGACAATATTCACTAAAAATTCTAAAGTTGGGTTAAATTAGTGGGGCCATTTAACCTGAAGAACAAACCTAATAAATGGATTCATATATAAAATAAAAACAACTCATGAGGATTAACTAGGTTCCTTTCATTGGTGTTTTTCAAAAATATGTTGGAAAAGAAAATTTTCACTTTTTAAAAAATGGCAAAACTCTAGTCAGTTACCAAAAAAGGATTTAAATTTATGAACAACTCTGATATCTTTTGTTTCCTTCCTTTGGGGAAGAATTTCTAAAAACTTTAACAAGGTAAAATAACACAATTCTAAAAGCTATCTTCTTTTTGAAAGGAGTTAAGCTTCATTAGAAGCTTCTTTATATAATTCTTTAAAAATACAATATTAACTGTTTAACATACTGTCTTTCACTTATTTAATTTGACATGCTTGTAATTTGGAAAAAATTCAAACCTGAAAGAATATCCAGAAGTTATTTTTACTCAAAAGAAATCACATATTTGATCACCAAGTCTAACATTAAACATAATTTTGTTCTAGATACTTCTTTACTTTAAGTACGTGTTTCATCTCAAAAAAATGCAAGTATTGAAGGTGATACATATGCTAATTTGCCAGATTTGATCATTATACCATGTATACATATGTACATTATACTCCATAAACATGTAAAATTTTTGTGTCAATTAAAAATAAATCTTATAAAAACACATAAGACTTTTCTTCTATTAGAATTTAAACAATACCCAAGTTGGAGATAGAGACTTAGCTTACTAAAACTGAAATTAGAAGAGGGTACTCTATTTTGGAATGTGTTCTTGGCAGATTTTAACAGCTGAAAGTATAAAGAATGCCTGGTTAGGGTTTTATTTTCTTGGTCTTTTAGAAAAATGTAATCAGATTAAAATTAATGTAAAATGTAAAATTACATTAATAAGCTATTAAAATTAAATTCTGTTTACAGCATTTTTGTAAATCAAATAAAAGAATTTAAAAGTCAAATCACCTCCAGATCTTTAATAATGTCATGTAGTTCAGAATCAGCAGTGATAAAAGAGGTTAACGGTGAATATATATTTGATTCGTTTGACTTTGATGCCAATTTTCTTCTCTCTTTATTTGCTTCAGAAATTTCTCTGTTGAGTATTTGAGATGAAGAGTTTGTCTCTATAGCATTGATAGGTAAAAAGTCTATCAGAGAAAAGGGATTTTCAAAACACAAATTATCTTCTCCATGGGGTTGAGCGTGTAGGTTTTCCATTTGTTTTCTAATGTCAGAAATTACAGAGCCTGAAAAATCTGGCAAATAATCTGAGGGAGACATTTTTTCTTGATTTGCAGAACTATTATTATATGTTTCTTCAACGTTTGCATTATACTTAATTTCATTTTGCACTTTCCTTTCTTTTGTCATTTTTAAGGCCACTCCATTCACATCTACTCTTGATTGAGTATGATAGTGTTTCCAATGTTTCTTCAATTTCCTGTTTCTCTCCTTAGCTCCATGAGTATTGGTATTTGAGGAATCAATTCCATAAACTTTTAAGCCATACTTCAAGGACAAAAAGGAGCTTAAATAGCCTTTCCCAGAACCCAGGTCAATAACCTAAAGTAAGAAAAATGGAATGAATTAAGTAATTTTAGTCAGTTGGTTATAGAAAGCATTCTAGATATTTTTTAAAGCAAGTAAACAAATGAATTATATATTTACACAGCCTGTTGTATTTGCTATTTTTCTTTAAAAAAAAACATTTTTATTAAACATTTTCCTATAAGTTTTAGTTAGCATAATAAACCAAGAAAAATAAGTAAAAGATAAATGTTAGAAGAAGAAAAATATCTTTATTCAAAGATGACATGACTATATCCAAAGCAAATCTCTGAATAGAAAAAACTAACAGAAATAGTAGGTGAATTTAGCAACATGTTAGGATACAAAAGGCAATGGAAGTTAACAATGAACCATCAGAACATATATAATAGAGTAGTAATAAATAATTTCAAGGCAAAATTTTAAAACATTTGAATTAAGACAGTATAACAATAGAATATCCGGGAATAAACTAACAAAGGGCATATATAAAATCCAATAAAAAACTTAGAAAGTCTAGCCAGGCATGGTGGTGCATACCTATAATCCCACTGGCTAGGGAGGCTGAGGCAGGAAGATCCAGATTTCAAAGCCAGCCTCAGCAATGAGGAGAAGATATGCAACTCAGTGAGACCTGTCTTTAAATAAAATACAAATAGGGCTGAGGGTGTGGCTTAGGGTTCAAGTGCCCCTGAGATGAATCCCTGGTATACAAAACAAAACAAAACAAAAACTTAGAAAGTCTAAATAAAAAGATATATCATATTCACGAAATAACAAGCCAAATGCTGAGATGGAAATTCTCTTTAAGTTGACTTAAAGATTCAACATAATCCTAATAAAAATACTAGAAGGGCTTTTTAAGGAAAATCATGAGCAGATATTACAATTTATATGGAAAGAGAGAGTTCCTAGAGTAACAAAAATTATTTTGAAAAAGAATAGGTCAAAGAATATTACTGATTCAAGAATTAATGTAAAACTACACTAATCAACAGAGTTTAGTAATGATATAAAATGGACATATAAAATCAATGGAAAAAATAAAGTCTGGAAATAGAATAAAATAGACTACATAGACTTCTGATTTTTGCCAACTGCCTAAGGAGAAGATGATAGTCTTTTAAAAAACTTGTAGGTAAAATTGAATGTGTGACAGGAAAAAAATGAACTTTTCCTGTCACACATCAAACACAAAGATTAATAAAAAGTGAATCACAGATTTAAATAACACAGTGAAAACTATTGTGTTGTGGAAGAAACATGAGAAAAATCTCTTGTGATTTTGAGATAGGCTAAGATTTCTTACATAGGACGAAAATTCATGTATAACAAAAATATAGTTTAAACTTCATTAAAATAAAACTTTAGCTATTCAAAATTTATAGTTCAAAAGGAAAATCAATATTTTCAAAACATGTAACTGAAAAAGGGTTTGTGTACCTAGAACATATGAAAAAAGTCTTACAAGTCAATAATAAGAGGACAAGCAATTCAATTAGAAAATAGGCAAAATATGTGAACATACACTTTACAAAATGATATACAAATGGTCAATATGAAGATGCCTGATGTTAGCCGTCATTAGAGAATGTAAATTAAAGCCACAATGAGATACACAAATGTCAAATGGTATTGTCACGTAGACTGACATGGAGCAAATTACATTCTATGCATGCATGTGTCAAAATGAACTCCACTATTATGTGCTATTGAAACTTTTTAAAAAGTACAAAACTAAAAAAAAATATGTAATAGAACATTTATATACAAAGATTAAAAAAATAGTTTACTACAAATTGATTCATACATTTAACATATAACCTACCAATATCAATCCTAGCTCTTTACCCAAAAGAAATGAAATATGTCCACATACAGTCTTGTATGTGAATATTCATAGCAGGAAAAAAAAAAGGGAAACAACTCAAAGTCTATCAACTTGTGAATGGAAAAATAAATTGTGTTATACCCATATTACAACATAATTTCATGAGAAAGCAAAAAGTTATGAATATAAACAACACTTATGGCTCTCAAAAGCTATGTACAAGGTGAAAGAACTCAAAACACAAAATTCTATATACTATAATTCCATTTATACCATGTTCTAGAAAAGTCAAAACTACAAGCAGATTAGTGGTTCCCTGAGAATGAAGGAGAAAGTATCCTACAGAATGGTATGAGGAAACATTTTTATAACTGTATATAATCACCAAAACTCATCAAACCTTAAGTTGATGAATATCTAAACTATACCTTAATAAATATAAAGATAAGAAAAAAATAAATTATAAGTTTTGATTGTCATAAGAAATAAATGAACACCTACAGAAATACTATTATGTTAGTTAGCTTTGCATTGCTGTGACTAACATTGAACAAAAACAACTTACAGGAAGAAAAGTTTACTTTGGCTTATGGTTTCAGAAGTTCAGTATATGGCCAGCTGACTCAATAGCTATGGGCCTAAGGTGAGGCACAAAATCATGGCAGAAGGGCATTGCAGAGAAAAGCTGCTGCTCAGTTCATGGGAACCAAGAATCAGTAATACCTTGAGTGCAAGAAGCTAGCAGTAACATAATCCTCAAAAATGATACCCCCTTAATGATTTACTTCCTCCAGCCATGGCCTACCTGTCTATAGTTACCACCCACGAATCCACATTATTTATTGATCAATTGGATTAAACCAATCCATGGATTTAGGCCACAGGTCATTATCTAATGATTTCACCTCTGAATATTCCTATTTATCTCACATACGAACTTTCGGGGGACATCTCACATCCAAACCATAACAACTATCATAACAAACCATTACCTAATCTTATTATTTATACACACACACACATACACAAACACATCTTTAATTCCTAAAGTTAATTAAACTCTGACATTAGTATAAACTACTCTAGGAAACACTTCTATATGTAAATCAATGAATGCCATTAAGTCCTAACAAATTTCATGATCTTAAAATTAGACCAGTTCAAAGCTAAGACTCCAAAATTTCCATAAATAAGAAATTAATTTACAAACATTCCTCTATACCTATTTTATACTAATTCTGAAGCTAAGTATTATGAGAAGTAGAGAAGTATTGTATGTATGTATGTGCATGTATGTATATACCATACATATATACTGTAAGGAACAAAACTCTAACTGAAGATTCAATAGCTATACTCAAATGCAAGGTCTATACAATAACATCTTACTTTAAGGAAATAAAATCTAACTGAATTTACCATATTTCTATTCATAAATGCAAAGGTTATATAGTAGAACCTTATTAATAAATTCCGATGTTTCTTAATCTCATGAGAAAGCAAAGTTCTCCATTCCCTTCTTCCTATAAAACACACTAATGATGCCAATGACAAGCTAATGTTTGTAATTGGTGTGCTGCTTTGTAAAACACCAGCACATTTGTTCCCTTAAATCTAAAAATGTTTGCTTCCAAGAAGTAATCGATTTTGTTCCTAGAACTGTTTACCATTCTACTGAATCAAGAAAGTTCTAGCTGTAAGTAACACCACACGAAGTTTTGAACAATGAAGAAACTTCATTAATTCACTTAATAAGAAATGTTAAAGTAGAACGCACCTTTGGGAGACTGACTATGCCCAGCCTTTGTACCAGTTGATTTTTATTTCTTTGGATGCAAGATGGCTATAGAAACTCTAAAAAAATCATGTAGTTTAATTCCTAAGATTTTTTTTTTTTTTAATTAGGACAAACTTTCCTAGCAGGTCTGCACTTGTACCTTATTGACCCCAATTACCTTTCCCCTCCAAACTGGTATTACAATAACATACAGATGGTTAGCAACAGAAAGAAAATTCTGCAATTAAGTTCCACTGATAGGAACATAGAAGCCGTGCAACTTTCTGCTTTCAAACAATCTTGCTCAAATAGCAAAATCCCATAATCATAATGTTCAACACCCTTACCCACAATAGAATTTTCCTTCCTGGATCATCTGCAGTAGTCTATAGGTTTGAAGACAAATGAGTCTCTAGACTAGTAAGTGGTAAGAGAGATCTCCTATTGTCCTAATTCTGTTTAGGAGAGTAATTAGAAACATTAGTACACATAATAGTTAAATTTCTTCATAATATTACTATGGTACTATTTTTTAGATAGATAAGCTACATTTTACAGACTAACCTACAGATTTACCATTCTAGGGTAATGGCTCTGATTTATAACTCCAGTGTGGAATTCTGATATGAATTCCAGACTCACAAATCCAATACTCTACCTGACATTTCCACTTGAATATGTAATAAGTATCTCAAATTGAAACTGATCTATTGATATTCTCTGTAAAACTTGCCTCTCCCATAATCTTTTTCATCAAAGTTAATAATACCTCATTTCCAGATAGAGAACAGAACTCCTTCTTTCTCTCATCATCTATATGTTAATTTTGAGCAAATCCATAAACTGATCATTTACCAAAGCTTTGCAAACCAACTTTATTCTAAATCTGATAACTATAACGGCTTGGCTTTCTCAGTGGTCTCCCTGATCCTACCTTTCTCACCCTCACTCTGTTCTCAACAGAAAAATGCAAAGTCTGATCATACCATTCCTTTCATCAAAACCCTCATTGCCTTTTTGATCTTATCTCTTAATGACTAGCTTTGTTAGTAAGTTGGGTTTTTTTTTTTTTTGGGGGGGGGGTGCTTAACTGCTGAGCCACATCCCCAGTCCTTTTTAAATATTTTATCTACAGACAGAATCTTGCTGAGTTGCTTAGGATTTTGTTAAATTGCTGAGGTTGGCTTTGAACTCAAAATCCTCCTACCTCAACCTCTTGAAACTCTAGGATTACAGGCTTGCTCCACTGTGCCCAGCCTAAATTGTTTGCTTTAACTCTGGAAGCATCTACTTAAATAGGAGCTGGTTTCTTAAAGGAATCAGTTTACATGTCTAAAAACAGTGAAGTAGAGAATCAAAGAGAGTCGATCTATTTTCTTCATAAAATGACAGAGAAGAAAAAAAAGATCCAGTGGCTGCAATGGCTTTCTTCTCATTCAGAATAAAAAGGCCAAATGATGATCACAAACGCCTCCAAAAATCTATAACTTCATAATCTTCCCCTTCCCACTCCAACCTCAGCTGTTATTTTTCTCTTATTCACTCCACTGGTGTCTATTTGGCTTCCTGGCTATTCTGAGAACTAAGTAGTCACATTCCCACTTCAGTGCCACCGAACACATTCACTTCATTTGAAAACCCTTCAGATATTTTAAAGTTTCTGTATCTTCTAAAAGAGGTATTAACTCATATTATCTTTACAAAGAGGTCTTACTTGCCTTATCTTCTGAATTAACCCCTCCCTTCCCCTTTTCTTTCCTCTTTAAAATGTTTTAACATATATAACAAAAAAATACTTAGAATCTTTTTATTGTCTAGTTGTCCTTATTAAAATATAAATGCCATGAGGGCAAAAGTACTTTTTATTTATTGCTATGTGTTCAGTGTTTTAAACAATGCCTCTGAAACATGGTAGGAGCTAAAGAAAATATTGGTTAAACGAACGAATACAAGAACATGTGCAAAATATGCAAAGGGATACAAATATTTAAGAAATACAAATCAAGAAGGCTTGGTAATATGAGTGTGAGAAGTAAAGTTTTGGGCATTCCAGTGGTGCTATGGATGAGGTAGAAATGAATTTCTTTTTTTTTTTTTCTACTTCTCTATGATTACTGCTAAGGTTAAGTATTTCAGAATCTCAGCCTCAGTCTACCAAATCCATATTTATTTAATCTCCATTTTAAAAGTGTAATTAGTATACACAGAATACATTTAAATGTAAACATTAAGAGAACCAAATAATAAGATCATTAAGTGATTTCAAGATAAAAATCTTAGTGTCCCTTAGTGCTAAGGACATTCTAATCTATAGTAATTTGCACCTTATCAGAATCACAAATTTTAGATTTGTTTCATTCACTAGATATAATTTTAACCACTATAAAAAAGTTTTCTTAAAAAAGGCCTAATATGGTACATTAAGCTATTTAAAAATATTTTGTATGTATTTTATAAATACAAATAAATCTAGTTTATCAACTTAAATTTATTTACTATTACATAGTATTTTACATAAAAATAAACATAACACAGAGACAGAGAGAGAGATAAATAAATATAAATAAAGTTATAGAGTAAATATCCCTCATTTTTGTTTGTGTTACCCCAGAGGCAGATCTGTCAACAAAGATTGAAATGAAAGTGATCTATTTGGTAGTAAAACACAGGAAGGGAAGTAAAATAGAAAAAATAGCAGCCCAATAAAGGTGTTTTTTTAAACAAGATAACATAATACTTTAGGGCAACTTGGGTTTAATCCCACTCAGAAGCTGAGGACTAGGGTAAAGCACATATCTAAGAATCATCTGTTATCGTTAAGTATTAGGTGTCCCCTAAAAGCTCATGTGTGAGATGATGCAAGAAGGTTTAGAGATGAAATGATTGGGTTATGAGAGCCTTAACCCAATCAGTGAATTAATCTGATGATAGGGATTAACTGAGTGATAACTGAAGGCAGGTATGGTGTGGTTGGAAGGGGTGGGACATTGGAGATGTTCCTCTGGGGTATATATTTTGTACCTAGTGAGTGGAGTCTCTTTCTTTCTGCTTCCTGGGTGCTTTTCTCTGCCACCCTCTTCCACCATGATGTTCTGTCTCACCTCAAGTACGAAACAATGGAGCTGGCTGTCTATGGACTGAAACCTCTGAAACTGTGAGCCCCTAAATAAACTTTTCCTCCTATAATTGTTCTTGTCAGGTCTTAGTCACAGCAGCAAGAAAGCTGACTAAAATATCATACCACCTGAAATGTTGCATCAGTTATTGGTTCAAGGCTATAGAGGGGAGGAATTAATTTCCAGAACTTATATATGAGCAGTACTTGTTTCAGTAGCAGGAGAAAGCCCACAGGAAAGAAATGGTGACAGTGCAGGTATAAAACAGTCTAGCACACTATGAAATGGTAAGGCCCGAGAGTAATTGGATTAAGTGCCCTACAGCAACTTCTATTTCCATTATTACAGGCATATGCCTCAAATTTACAATCCTCCAGAATTGCTGGGAATATAGGCATGCCCAATCATGCCTGGCTAGTAAAAATACAGGGAAATATTCTTACCTGCTTTACTCCGTAGTAATCAGTAATACTGCAGATCAGCTGTGACATTGCCTGAACTTCATGAGATTTTTTCATATTCATAAACTCAACTGGCTTCAAATTTTCAGCTAAATGAAAATAAAACAAAACTGAAATAACACTTCTAAAGCAAAATTTAATAGAATTAAAATTATCAGCCAATGCTCATTTTTTGGAATTAAATACGAAAATAAGATAGAAATTCTATTGTAGTATCTGATAGATTTCTATTCCATAGCTGCTATGAATCTAATTTGAATAAAGATCTACATATCATTAAAAATGTCCCTTGATACAAGCAGTTAATGATAAAGACTGAAAAACTATACTACAAAAGAAACTTTCCATTAAGAGACAACTTAAGAGTGGAAAGGCAAGCAACAAAAAGGGAAAAAATATTTCCAATACATACAACTACAAAAACAAAATGAATTTCTATATATCAATAAGTACCTGTACTGTCTAGTACAGTAGCTACTAGCCATGCATGATTATTTAAATTTGCATTTAAAAAATTCAAATAAAATTGCAAATTGTTTCTGAGCTGCATTAGGCACACTTAAAATGCTCAACAACCATGTTGTTTTCTATTGTCCCAAGAATCAAAGATACATATTTCTATATCAATGCAGAACATCACACAGGATGGTGCATTATGGTATATACTCTACATTATAAAAGTGGCCAAAGAGCATGTGACAAAGTAGTTAACATCATCACACATGTGAGAGTTGGGCAGTAGGGAACTGAAATGTAGTGCTGGGATGATTATTATAGCATAACAGTTTTGTTCACTTTGCGTTCCAAAATGCAGTCCTTAACCATTATAATCAAGGGAAGGGCCAAGGCTATCCTTGATACAGAGCCCATTCAGTTATTGACAGTCAGCAACATCTGACATTAAAGCTCAGTGAACTTCTATACAGCTTCTATAGCAACGCTGCTGGTGAACTTATTTAGCAACTGGAATACCCCTACCAAGAGCCATGATTCAAAAAGCCCTCTGTTTTGCTGCAGGAAAAACTATGAGATAATTTTGCTTAAAATGATTAAAGAGATTAATGAAAAAGATTAAAATAATTAAAGAATTACATTTAAAGGGAAATGCTCCCTTTACAAATGATAACTCCAGTGGATTCATTTTTAACAAGTAAGCAAACTTATTTTCATGAGTAATGGGACAAAATTTCATGTGTCTCCTAGTATCATGAGTGAGAAAGGGATTATGTTAAGTGGTCTTCAGGTAAAAAATGTATAACCTGAATCTAATCATAGGGAAATAATAAAACAGACCCAGCCTATATGCATTGAAAGTATCAGTGTCAGGAAAAAACAAAAGGCAGGTTGAGGAACTGTTCTAGATTAAAGAATTAAACATAAAACTAAATACCATACATAAGCTTGGACGGATTTCTATACTAAGGAAACAACTGGCCATACAAATATTTTTAAGAAACTTAAGAGAAATTTGAATACAGATTGCTTATTAGATAGTATTACTCCAGCAATGTTAGATTGCTTATTAGACAGTATTACGCTAACAAGGTTAGATTCCTAAGTGTGTTCATATGTTATGAGATGTTTAGGAAATGTCCTTGTTCTTGCAAGATATATACTGAAGTACTTGAGGGTAAAGTGTTAGGATATATGTAATTTATATTCAAAGGATTTAGATAAAAGGCTGCATGTGCATGCATGTGTGTGTGTAAAGAACTACAACAAATGTGAGGACATTTTAACAAACAGTGAATCTAGGTGAAAATTATACAGGGTTCACTGTACTACTTTTGCAACTTTTTGTAACTTTTCAAAATAAAAAGATGGGGAAAGGAGGATTAAATGAGATAACAGTTCCGAGCTTTGTGGACAATAAATAGGGTCTGTAATTCATTATTTTATTAATTAGATAATAATAAGTATTAAAACTGGCTCCTACCTCAACATCAAAGACTGTTTTTAATTTTTTTTTAATTTTTGTAGTTAGAGTTGGACACAATAATTTTATTATTTATTTATTTATTATTTTTATGTGGTGCTGAGGATTGAACCCAGGGCCTTGCATGTTCGAAGCGAGCACTCTACCACTGAGCCATAACCCCAGCCCCTAAAAGACCGTGTTTTTTTTTAAAAAAAAATCATCTTCTTTGCTCTATCTGAATAGGAACATATAAGTTATTCACATTTAATAAAATTATTGAATCAACTGAGTTTTTATCTACTATGTTGCCATTTGTTTTTTCACTTGTGCCATCCCTACTTTCTCACGCTCAGGTTTCTCCCTCATACCCCCAACCACACTGTGCACTTCTCCCACCTCTTCCTAAAGAACCAGCCATAGCAACCAGTAGCCCACAGCAACAAAAATAAAAAAATGATTTTGTAATTTGTATTATCCCACTGTACTGTAATCTATGTTTGAAGAGCAGGCACTAACTCAAGATAGCCAGAGGCTAAAGTAAGAACAAAATTCAGAGATCTATAAGTTATTCTGTTTAATATGGTATAAAAGAAAATCAATTCTTCTAGGTATAAGATAATTTATCATGACTTATAAGGTCTAACAATAAGAATATGTTGGAAAGATAGTAAATGTCTTCTAAGTATCTAAAACACATACATGTATACACATAAACACACATACCAGTCCTCTGTTTTTTATTTCCTTGAAGAGCTACAAGCAACTGTTCAAAAGGAGTACACATTCCCAAGTTTTGAACAGAATAATATTTTGCAGCCAGAGCAAAGGCTTCCACACTCGATAGCTTCTGAGAAGTTTCACAAAATGCTTTTGGAAAATCACTAACACCTAAAAAATCATAATAGGAGAACAAAAACAAAAACATTAGTAATAACTAAATAACTAAAAACTAATCAGTATGAGATTTTAAAATAATAAATGAATGTTGGAATTTTATAGCAAATTACAATATTTTTGTTTTAGTGTGAATTTTGGCAGTATCTCTAAAGTTCCATTTGTATCTGTTATTTAAACTATGGCTATTTGTAGACAATAAATAAGGTCTGTAATTCATTATTTTATTATTTAGATAATAATAAGTATTAAAACTGGTTCCTACCTCAGTATCAAAGACTGTGTTTTTAATTTTTTTGTAGTTGTAGTTGGACACAATAACTTTATTATTTATTTATTATTTTTATGTGGTGCTGAGGATTGAACCCAGGGCCTTGCACGTAGCACCCTATTTTAACATTTTACTCAATTATATGTTTAAATATCAAATTAAATTTTGGCTCATTTCAAGAACTAATAAAAGAAAGACTTAAATCTTAACAGTAAGATAGTTACTTAATTCATGGAATAGTCCTGTCTGATCTATAACTGTGCATTTTCAGTTCAACCCTTTATAACACTATTACCTTACTATCCATACTGCCTACAGAACAATGGTAATAACCCCAGTGGTATAAAGGTTACTATAAAACAGTTCCTCTGTCATTTGGACCATATAGACTTACTTGTGTGTGTGTGTGTTGTGTGTGTGTGCGTGCACACACATGGGCAGGTGGGGGGGCTATATGTATTGCTGAAGGTGCTGTCAGTCTGATAATTCTAAAACTAATTAAGTTATGATCTGGTAAAATAGTTCATTTTTCCTCGTGGTCAGTTTTAAACCACACATTTTCTTAGTATAGTAACTGTTGACAGTTTCTAAAGGCTCACAAATTCAAAATAGTACGGGAAAGTGGTATAATGTTTACAAACATCAGTGCCCCTCTGGGTAGGAGTATGTATAAATACCCTATTAAACTCAGGTGTAGCAACATCTTGCTTAGGTAAACTAGACCATTTTTAGGCAGAAGATTTAAGAATATGGGAAGAACTTTCCCTAGCTCTGTGATTTGTGAAGATGGAACTCATCTCAATCTGAATCCCTGAGTGACTATGTCAAGGTAAGCAGTATTGTCAAACTATAATGGATATGTATACACCAATGGAAATACAGGATGAAAAGTCAACTACATTGCTTTCCATCACTTAGGTTTTAGGCCTATTATTATAGCATAATGCTGCCTATTCTGATGGATATGTAAAGGGACATTGACAGATTTGCTTAATCTTATTTTTCTATGGTCATTTTTAAGTCAAGTCAATTTACTTAAGAGGATTGTTTTAAAAGGCATTTCAATTTGTCTGTAGTAGTTCAAAGTAACTCTAGATGGAGGGGTCCAAGTAAGCCTATTTGCTGATAATTATTTTTTAAAAAACTGACATAACAACAACAACAAAAAAACTCCATCCAGTGGAAAAATAAAATACGTAAAATGCTCTCCTTATAAAAGCATGGTACAATCTATATACCACTGAAGTCTTCTCTAGCACAGCTGATCCTCACAGTTACTTACAAAATTATAAAAATTCACCTAAACACAAAGAATAATGATGCTATTTGACAAGGCCTGAGAGAAAGATAACCGAAGTAGGTTTATAGAATTCTAAACAAAAACAACATATTTAAGCTATTATCTTTTGAAAGCTAGTATCTCTTAAGTAGGTGGGGGCAATGTTTACCAAATTCATTAATAGAAAATTGGCAGGGATATGTAACTTCTATTTTTTAATCAACTAAAAATAAAAGAAGATTTCAAAATTACTATAGTGAATTTATTTAAGATATATTTTATGTGTTATATAAAGTTCTTTGGACATTTTACAAACTGAACTGATACAGCCAAAAAGTAATAAAATCCACATCAAAATATTTAGGCATGATACAGAGGGGAAAACTCAGTCAACTATTAAGTGAGACTCTCAGGTTTAAGAGCAGTCTCAACATCCCCAAGTTCCAGGGCAGCAATTTCTTAGAGTGTGATAGAATAAGAGTATTAAATCTCAATGTGCAAAGGGACTATTATAAAAGTCAGTTATTGGACAATGTTGCCAACAGAAAGAAATGTGATGTTTCTGTTGGAAAAGTAAAGGTTCAAATCAACTTAACTATCCTACTGAAAATACTTGAAAATTTTTCAATCAAACCTGAATTAAATATTGTTAATTTGCTTTCAATAATAGCCCCCTACCCCCATTACTTCAGAAATTTTGGAGATCTAATTGCAATGATAATGACTTTCAACAATAATTAATTTTTAAAAAGGCCAGTGTTCTGATCCAGCCCAATAGTTTATATCATTAGGGTTAACACCATTTTATTCAGGCCAGAATTCCATGAATAAAATATTTTTGAATTATGGAACTACATCCACTATACTTATTTTGTTTATAACTTGTAATTTCCATGACTTGCTACTTTTTAGAGATTCAAAGAAAGAAATGTCAACGAACTTGTCTTTACTTCTGTCTCTGAAACAGTATGTGAAAAGTTAGTTATAAGGCAATGATAATGGTGTCAAGAGTTCGCACAGTGCTTCCTTGGGTACCTGTATAATCAGTTTGGGATCAGCAACTAGTAAAACAGAAACCACAGGATTACTTATATTTAGTTAATTCTTAGATTTGTTTTTTTTTTTTCTTTTTGTACAGGGAAAGCTTGTTAAATTTGTTGCCCATTTTACCTGCATATTATGTGGCTTGATTATTTTGCCCATAACACCCTCTACTGGAAGTTCCTGTTCTGTTTCATTATATGCTTTTCTTGTGTTCTCTACATACTTTTATTTTTCATGCAACCTACTATTTCAGAGAAGAGAAACTTCTTATAAAAATAAGGCCAGTGTTATATGACAGTTATTATAAGATAGGTTAATTGAGTGAGAAGTGGAGGAGGGAGGTATTTTCTATAAATATGAAACCAGAATAAATTTTTTTTATATCAGAGATCAATGTGTAAGAAAAGATAGAAAAGTCATTCATATATATTACATTATGAAAGTCTTAAGTAGACGAATTCATAATACAATTTCAAAACTAAAAATACAATGAATGTACATTTACAATTAATAATAAAAACTAAATTTCAAAAATAAATGTCTCTTACTTGAATGTTATGAAACACTATGGGAGATGACACCTGTAAGGGTTCACAGTAATTCTTCACTATTATGCTATGTGCCAAGTACTATGCCAAACTCTTTTCCTTTCATGACAGTTTTCTAAGCTAGTTAATTAGTGCTTTTATCCCCATTTACTGAGGAAAAAACAGAGACATAGGGAAGCTATGATTGATCCAAATTTGCACAGATACTAAGTGGCAGGGCATGTAAACTGAGGCAGTCTTGACTTCAGAACTTGCTCTTAATTCTGTTATCATGCCACAATGATAAGTATAGTGGACAATAAAGGAAATCAGGCAAAATAGCAGTGAAAAAAAAGAAAAGCATTAAGCAAACCTGTCAGCCTCAGGTTTGGCAATAATTTCCTCCTGTAGAGATTAAAATATTTTGTACTCTGTCTTCATAACCACTTTTTTTCATTCCCCTTTAACACCTTCTCTCCACCAGAATGATTTAAAAGTTTCCAGAAATTGAAAAGTAATTTTTACATGTAAAATAACTGATAAGTCTCTGAAAGGGGAATAAAAATGTTTTTATAAGATTCACTGTGTAATCTATTTCTAGACACAAAATACTACTGCTACAAGCTAACTGTAAAGCAAGTACTTTGCACACAGCATGAATGAATGAACGAATGAATGCCTGCATGCATGAATGACAGCAATATTTCAATACACTTACTATTGTAGCATCATCAGCTACAGAAAGAGAGACGAACTCTCCTAAAAACTCTGTGGATGTAATCACTGAGGCCTCTACGAGGACTTCAATAGCCTGTTAGAGAAGCATAAAATCTCATTTCAGCCCAAATATTTATAATTGTAGGATAAGGTGAGAGTGATTTAGAACATTTAGAATGTGACATAAGATAAAATGAAATTATGCACCAAAATTTGTGTTACAGGAGTGAGGGGAAACTCAATATCACACAGCCTATGGATCAGAATTTCAAGAAACCAGTGGTGCCTTCCTCATAATAATCTTCAAAGGACATAAGTTTTTGTATTAATTTCTACACAAATATTCTAAAGATTTCTTCAGTTCAAAGGTTCAGAACCAAACTGAATGTTGTCATTTTACCGTAATCTTTCTCTTATTTCCTGTCTTAAGAGCATTTTCATTCAGTGTTAAAGTTAAAAATCTTCACATTATCTTAAATATTTCTTGTGTCCTCAATTCATACATCTACCCATGCCTCCATCTGGATGTAAAAATGTCTTTCATTTGGAAACCTCCTCCCTCTATCACTGCTGTGGTTCAAACCCTATTAACTCTCACCAGTGCTACTGCAATGGCTTCATAGTTGTTATTTTCCTTTTGGATAAAAGTCCCACAGCACAATGCTCACTGGTTGAGTTGAACTGAACATGTTTTCTAACATAAAAAATTTACCTTTATTCAATACAAATTTTATTAAACTTTTATTTTTGGTATTGGTGATTGAATCCAGGGGCACTTATACACTGAGCTATACCCCGAACCCTTTTTTGTATTTCATTTAGAGACAGGATCTTGCTGAGTTGCTTAGGGCCTCAATAATTCGCCGAGCCTGGTTTGAACTCACAATTCTCCTGCCTCAGCCTCCCAAGCCACTGGGATTACGGGTTAATTAAGCATTTTAAAGTTTTGGCTTCTGTTAACAGTTGACTTTTAACTTTAATCTTTGATAAATTTTAATACAATTTAATCAAATGCTAAAATGTCTTATCAACTTTTGAAAATTAAAGATAGACCTAGCTAAATTTTATGAATGTTTGAGTTTATCTATCTTCCTATACTCTACCAAGGAAAAAACCAGAATATATCCTGTTGCTTTTAAAAGAAACTAATATCACCCAATTATGTGCTAGGAAACTTTTTGGTTAAGTCATTACAGCTTAATTTACAGTTGTATATGAAATTTTAAAAAGTTACTTAAACATTTAAACCATGCTTTTGGAAGGAATAAGAAATAATTAATAAGAAATTGACATACATATTTTTACTATACCAATACTAACATCACATTGAATGTATATGTTTGTTTAATCATGCCAAAAGTAGTTTCACAATTATATTTATAAAAATGACATTAAATATAAAGATAGAAAAATTTAACCATAGTATTTTAACTCTATCAGATTCTTTTCTCTTGAGAGGAACAAAATTATTCAAAGAAACAAATTTAAAAATGTATTTGCTAAGTAAAAAATAAATTAGTTAAAAAGTAAATTAAGTCCGAGGTGCCTAGTATGTAAACAGTTGTCATGAAAGATTATTTCAGCTCAAAATTCTTAGGAACAGGAAGACGTCTAAAATAATAAATGAAAAACAGCTTAACTTGTGGGATACGGGACTAGAATTTTGTAGGGGAAATTTATAACAATTAACTCAGAAAACAATACAACAATTGAGACCCACACATTTTCAATCTCAAAGATTAAAAAATGTTGAACATTTATTTGGAAAATGAAACCAACTAGTTTTAGATAAGAGCACTCTCACATAGTTGAAATTAAATAATATATAATAAATCAAAAAGCAATTCTAGGGCAATACTAAGAGCACAGGATTTTTACAGATTATTTGATGTATAAAAAGCATAATAATTAAATTACCAGATCACATGAAATGGGAAGAAACTAAAATAAAAGTCTCCTAAAAAGGAATGTTTTTTCTTCTTTCTTTTGGTACTGAAGATTGAACCCAGAGGCACTTATCCACTGAGCCATATCCACAGCCCTTTTTTATATTTTATTTAGAAACAAGGTCTCACTGAGTTGCTTAGGACCTCACTAAGTTGCTGGGGCTGGCTTTGAACTGGAGATTATCTTGCCTCAGCCTCCAGAGCCTCTGGTGCACAATTGTGCCTGGCGGGATGCAAGTTTTTGAAAAAAAAATTATACCTTGTTCGTTATTGTATTCACAACACCTAGCTCAACATTTTACTCAGAAAATACCAAGTAATTTTTGCAAAAATAAAAATAATCAGGCACACTTGGGTTGGGAGGCTTAGAGAATACTGACCTATTCTCAAACTCTACAAATGACAACATACTGAAAACATATTGAAAAATAATGACCCTGCAGAGGTTGCAGAAGGGAGGCTCAAGGATTGCCTATTTCTTCCTCTCAAATAGCAGTAAGTTTAAATTCAACCATTTCTAGTACTTACTAATTCAGCATATTGCCCAGAGCAGTGATAATTTACACTATGCTAAAAAAAAAACAAAAAAAACTAAACTAATTTTAAAAATTGAAATAGCTATTATCATGGTTTCTTTTCCTCCTCAGTTAGATCTTTTATTCCTGAGTAACCTCAATGAGGTCTTGCCTGGACAAGACCTTGTCTCCCCTTGTTTATTTCTCTCTTATGTACTTTTTCTCTGTAGCACTTAAAAAAAAATTGGGGGGGGGGGGTCCTACTTCATCCCTTTACAATTCTCTAATTTCTAGAAAAGTACATGGCACACAGTTGACACTTGATTACCATGTTTGCTGACTGGAGTAATAAATGAACTTCCCCAAGATCACAGAACTGATAAATGGCAGAAATGGGATTTGAATTATGACTCCAAAGTTTACAAATTTCACAGCTACTCTATAATGGCCATAATAACTCACAACTGCTTAATAAAAGAACAAATCTAGTCAAAATGATTCTAATGCTCTTCTCTGACACAAATAATGAACCTCATATAATAATGAGGGAAATGCCCATCTTTCCATCATCAAAAATTAAGATTCCTTACAACACAGATTATTAAAACTCACTCTTTTAAATACAAGAAGTAGCTGAGCAGTTGTATAATTGAATATTTTATATAAAAAAGCTTTTAGGTCTAGAGATATTTCAAAAGTTAACAATCTTCTCTAGATTTCATTGCTGTTGGATTAAAAAATGTTTTTTTATTTTCAAAATATAGATTCTAGAATTCACATTACTCTGGGACAGGAGCCCACAAAAACTCACCGCTGCATTAGCAGATATGCAAAATTATCACTGCTACCATCCTAATTCAAATAAGTCATTATTTCCCTACACTAATTAATCTCTTATTTATCTCTCTCTCTCTCTTTCTCTTTTCTTTTTTGGTACCGGGGATTAAACCCAGGGGTGCTTAACCACTGATTCACATCCCCATCCCTTTTTTTACTTTTTAAATTTTGAGACAAGGTCTAGCTAAGTTGCTGAAGGTCTTGTTAAATTGCTAAGGCTCGCTTTGAACTTGCCATCCTCCTGCCTCAGCCTCCTAAGTAGCTGGGATGACAAGCGTGCCCCACAGCGTGAAATCATCTCTTAACTAGCTTTTGCACCACTGTGTAATTTATTCTTCAAAAATCCCTCAGAGTTATCTTTTCAAATATATATATTAGATTAGGTCACCAAGCTGCCTAACTGACTCCAGAGGTTTCCCAACACATTTAAAATGCCAAATATATGGCCCAGAAAGCTCTATGGGACCTGTTCTCTGTGTACTTCCATTACTGCACCTGCAGCTGCCCTCAGGTCCTGGCTAAGACTAAGTCTATCCTGTGGTTCCCACGGTCAGCAATCCTGTTCCCTTGGCTCTAGGCCAACTAGTACCTTCCCATCTTAGGTTAGGGAGGCTCTTTCCACAAGCCCTGTCACCTCACACTGTTTTTATTTTCTACTTGGCCATTAGTAACATCTGAAATTTCCTTTTTTTTCTCTTAACTTTATTTCCTACCTAGAATCTATAAACCCAGTGAAAGCACTGTTGGCTGGTTTCACTCAAGTCAAAAATTGTTTTATGACTAAATGAATGCCCCTTGTTTTCCTTAAATTATGGTAAGTCTCAATACACCCCAATACAAAAGAGGCATCGCAGAAGGGCTCTCGCCACCCAGTCCCGAGTAAACTGATCCCTGTTTTCCCGGGAAAACGACGCCCAGCCCCTGCCCGGGTCAGGTGTGCTTCCACCTGGCTGCACGCAGTGCAAACAGGACCCATCTCTCCTCCCTTCCCACCCCGCCTACTCCGTCATTCACCTGCTCGCGCCTCTGCTTCCACCAGGGGCCGCGCCTCCGGAAACCTGGCCTCCGCCTCCGCCTCCGCCTCGGACCTCTTCAACGCAGCCGGCACAGTCTCCGGAGACAAGTCAACCAGCTTTTCCCACACGGACTCTGTGTAGAAGTCCACCGTGTGCGCGTTGGAAATAGGCAGAGCGTCCCTCAGGAACCGCAGCAGTCCCTGTAACTTGGCATGCAGCGTGGGCAGGTCCTGGGTCGCCGGGAGAGGGCAAGCAGCAGCCATGACGCGCAACCTCCCGGGCTGTAGGTGGCGCAAACATGGCCGCGCGGCATCGACTCTTGACAAAAGTGGTGCAGACCTGATCAGTGGAGCTCCGAGTCGGCTTTTAGTCTGGCGATGGATTGCTTCTGTTTGGTGACGTCTTTCAGGGACGTCCGTCGTGGTGATCTGTCGACCGAATTGGTCCACTATGGCACCCGTCAGGCCGGCAGCGAGGTTGAGAACCGGTGGCTTGGGGGCGCGTGTTGAGGGGGTTTCACCTGTCGGATGCAGGAATAAGAATGGGAAAAAGAGGACCTGGCGGCCTAACTATCCTCAAGCTTTTTCGGGCAGCGTTCGCGAGGGTGCGTAAGAAGACAGCCATTTAGAAGCCCTTAGGTCTGCGAAGTCCTGGGACGCGCGACCCGACTAAGCTTGAAAGAAGGTTTTAGGAACCAAAACCTGGGTCCTGCTGGGGACAGAGGAAGCCATTCCTAAAACCGCTGAAACCGTGCGCTTCCCAGAGCTCTGGATGGGCAGATGGGGGTAGAGTTGATCATTTAAATCGGGTTAAAATGTCTCCTTAGAAATAATATCAGACTTGATGAGAACTCCTTTCCTCTGTGGCCCTAAGGGGAGAGCGCCTGCAGGTCCACTGGGGTGTGTTACATTTATACATTTGAATCTGTATTACGGTAAGAGATGGAGTGCAGGATGGGGCCAGAAATACAGTTCTCAAACTTTGCTGATTCCAGATATCGCAATAGCCATTCGCATCTCACGGTTCTTCTTAACTTTTTTTTTTTCTTTTTTTCTTGCTGTTAGGTCCCTCAGATTCCATTTTGAATGCATAACTATAAAATAAGTTCAGTCTTCTGATAATTGTTAGTTGTGCAAGAAAGTCAAGCACTTTTTTTTTCTTTTGATTGCAGTATTTTTACCGTAGAGAAACTTACTACACAACGGATTGTAGTAAGTGTGTAGTACGTTGTGTAGTAAGTTTCTCTAAGGTAAAAAGATGTGTTTATTTGTACGTATTTGTTGAAGGGCCTGATTATGTTAGAGGACCTAGAGGAATTTGGTTTTGATTGGTGAGTACAGTTATAAATTCAAGTTTGCAACAGTCTGAACTGGTCAGTTTTTGAGATTTTTAGGTGGTTGTATGACAAATGTCCGCCAAATCTTTTTGCAGATGGCCAACTTGCTGTTCAGCCCTTCTGCTTAAATTTGTTGCCAGACACATTTCTCTTAAAGAATAAAACAAAATAATTGTAACATTTGAATGTAATAATGTATTAAGATTTCATTTTTAATTAACAGCTTTATCTTTTCATTCAATTTATATTTTGTGACTATAATCATTACCTATATCCTTCAATGTAGGGCAAGGCTTTGCATTTCGGAGAAAACTGAAGATTCAACAACATTACAAGAAATTGCTGTGGAAGAAAAAGAAGGCTCAAATATCACAGGAGTCCCAATTCACAGATCAGTATCCAGATCATCTGAAACATCTTTATTTAGCTGAAGAAGAAAGACTCAGGAAGCAACTGAGAAAAGTTACCCAGCCTTTGTCAGAAGAACAAGTTGACCAGCCTTTGCCTGAAAAAGAGCATAGCATTGATCAGACTTTGTCTGAAGACGAATGTAGTGTTCATCAGCCTCAACCAGAACAGTGTGGCAAAACGAAAAAGTATGTATTTTTTTCTGAAGTCTTTTACTTTAAGTGTAAGTAGTATTTTCTGAAAGGTATTATAGGAAAATTTACATAGGAATTGTGATTTTTCTTATTTAACACATTTAGAAGTCATAGTGTAAGTAGGGATCATATTTTCTTGGAAGAATTCTTTTTAACTTTAAATAACTGAATTAGACTAGTTTAGCATAAATGAAGAAGTGATGAAGTTAAAATATCTGAGCTTTGGCTTTCTGCCTTACGTACATGTAACTTACTTGGACCATAGTTAACTCCTATTACTAATATATTTAAGTAATATTTGAGAATTATTGTAAGTGTGGTCAATAACAGCTTAGATCGTAGAGCCAAACTTAGCATATTGTTTCCTAGTGTCCTTTAAACTGGGAAGGATAATAAGTGTGTAATTGAGAGCCACTGTGTTGCACAGCTGTAGAGTAGATCATTCACTGAGGTAAATGGTGTTAGTATATCTTGATGTGTGATGACAGAGTTAATTTATATCAGGCATTTAAAAGGATGTATAACACATGGTAAGTGCTTATAAGTGTAAACTACTACTACTCCTGTTACTAATCTGGATTTTCTTCAAAGGATAGGAAATGGTTGTAACTAAAAAATGACATGGCTCCACAGCACTTTGGTATTATAAGAGCTAACTATAAACTGTTTCTCCACATATTTCAGGTAAAAACATAATAAAAACTTAAACTTTCAAAGAAGTCAGATGATACTTGGGTCCATAATTTGTTCTTTTAACACTGTGAATTATTTGTGCTAAAACTAACATGCACTAGGACTCTAGGAAAAAAGTTTAGTTGGGGACAAAGGCATAGAGACTAAAACTTCTGGTTTTTTTTCAGTAGACTTATCTGTCATATTACTAAACAATGGAGTTGTGCAGTGAAAAAGTAAGCACTAGCACTATAGATTTGAGTTATTACCAGTGATAATTGAAGTGAGAAGAGTTAAATCAGGAAACAAGTTAAGATTTTTTTTAAAAAAAAAAGCTTTTTATTTTGAGATTGAAAAAAACTGTCATTGAAGAAGATAAATAAACTTGTCAAAATTGAAGAATTGGGGAAATGGAAGGACAGCTAACTCAGCAGAGGAAAGTTGTGAGAAGGATCAGAAGAGAAAAAGGTCACCTAAACTAAGAGAGTAGACTTTTCAAAAGTATTGAATAGTCATTTAAAGAGACCAAAATGGCCCATTGATGATCCTTGGATAGGAAGGCATCACTATCTTGGCCTGGGTAGCTTGATTGGAGTGGGGGACCAGAAGTGAGGCATTGAAAAGGTAACGAGTAAATGGAAAGTGACAGTCATAGTCTGCTTTATTCTTTCTAGGAACTTGACTATGAAAGTTAGGGGAAAAGATTAGGAGCTAAGAGGACATATACTCTAATAATGGATAATGAATTTTTTTTATTTACATTAGCAAGGGAGTTGCAGAAAAATGTGATAAGTTGAGAGACAAAGGAAAGAAAGATTACTACTCAGTCAGGTATCCTAAGGAAATAAATGGTATCCCAGGTATTTAGATTAGCCTTGGAAGGAGGAACACTTTCAAAGAAGTGAAAATGCTGTAATATTGAACATTTATTTCTAAATGGAAACTAGGTCCAAGGCATGGTGGTGGATGAAATAGAATTGAGACAAGGTGGTCAAAGAACTTTAACATTAAAGTTTCTTCATACGAGCAACTTCTATAATGTCTTTCAATGTAATGTATTTTTTTAGTCTGTCTTTAAATTTTTTTTTTAACATTGTAGGATCTTTCAAAGCTTTTTATATTTCCCATGGTGAAATATTTCCAAGAATTTTCATTAACCACCCAGTAATTGATCCATAATCTTTAAAAAAAAATTTTTCCATTAGATATACATTACAGTAGAATGCATTTATGCACTGTGATATATCATTCATAGATGGAATATAATTTTTCATTTTCTGAGTGTACATGTTGTAGAATCATATTGGTCATGCAGTCATAAATATGCATAAACTAAGAATTTCTGTTTCATTCTATTATCCTTCCTATCTCCACATCCCCTCCCCTCTTTCCCTTCACTTCCCTCTACCTAATCTAAGGTAACTCTATTCTTCTCTAGTGCCCCCCAGCCCTTATATTGAATTAGCATCCGCATATTAGAGAAATATTCGGCCTTTGGTTTTGGGAGACTGGCTAATTTCGCTTAGCATGAAATTCTCCAACTCCATCCATTTACTGGCAAATGCAATAATTTCATTCTTTAAAGCTGAGTAATACTCCGTTGAATATATATATATACCATTCGTCTATTGAAGGGCATCCAGGTTGGTTCCATAGTTTAGCTATTGTGAATTGAGCTGTTATGAACATTGACATGGATGCATCACTGTAGTATGCTGGTTTTAAGTCCTTTGGATATACTGAGGAGTGGGATAACTGGGTCAAATGGTGGTTCCATTCCAAGTTTTCTGAGGAATATTCATACTGCTTTCCATAGTGGTTTTCCCAATTTGCAGTCCCACCAGCAATATATGAGTTTACCTTTTCCTCCATATCCTCACCAACATTTATTGTTGCCTGTATTCTTGATGATTGTCTTTCTGACTGGAGTGAGTTGAAATCTTACAAATAACCCAATCAATAAATGGGCTAAGGAACTGAACAGACATTTTACAGAAGAAGAAGTACAATTGATCAACAAGTATATGATTCATAATCATATAATTGCAAGTATGTTTTCAATATTATTATTAATATGCAAATTGTTTTTTCCTATTCTCTCTATTCTCAATTAATATGCATTAGTGAGACTCAGGTATCAGAGTTAAGGAGTGAACGAGAAGTGGCAGTCTATTTTCTGTTCTTTATAAACTTGACTGAAAAGTTTGGGTGAAAAGATTGTCTATAAATATGTATTTGACACAATTGCATCATAATTTTGGTTAAGTCATTTTTAAAACTTATGATTTATTTGTCTTATAAAGTTCTGTGACTATTCCAAAAAAGAATAAAAAGAAAACATCAAATCAAAAAGCACTAGAAGAATATGAACGGATACAAGCTAAACGTGCTGCCAAGAAACAAGTAAGTTCTACTTTTACAATATTTGGGTACATTTTTCCTTATTTATCTGGAATACAACTTGTGTTTCTTGGGGTGGTATTCTTGGGGTAGTCTGTAAATATATATAATTTTTTCTTTTTTCTTTCCTTTTTTTTTGGGGGGGGGGTCATTGGGGTTGAACTCAGGGCACTCTACTACTGAGCTACAACCCCAGCCCTTTTTTGTTTTTAAGACAATGTCTCACTAAGTTGGTCTTGAACTTGTGATTCTTATGCCTCTGCCTCCCAACTGGAAATATTTCTTAAATGAATGAATGAGCAGAATCATAGAATTGCATCATGTTCACATTCATTGATTATTTATATTATCTCAAGAAATACTGCTCGGTCAAGAATAGAATTTTAAAACTATTGCTTGGGGGTTAATAATATGTGCACCTGGGATAATGGTTCAAGAACTGGCAAAGAGATTCTTATGCTTAATAAAATTTGAGAACCACTAAAATACAAAATATGGATGATCTTGCATTAAAACAAGTAAAAATCAGAGGGGAGGTTTTAGAATAAAATATTAAGAATTGATTTTTCCCAACTAAAAAACCTACTATTTTATATATTATTTTGTTACCTATTTTTTAACTTAGCAGAAAGTTGCTACTCAGTTATCATTCAGAAAATCAGAATTTTAATAGACTTTTCCAATGAATACAACAATTATCTATAGCTTCAACAAAATTTTCCTGTTATAGACGTTATGGTTAGTTCAATTGCCTTTTTGTTTTTGATTTAGAATAAATATATGTAGTTAAGAAAACTTAAGAGTTTAACAATGGCAGACTGGGATGAAGCAGAACTATCTCTCTGGAAATACTGGACCCTTATGCTTTTTTCTAAGCGTCCACAGTTTGCCATCTTTGGAAACAGTATATCAAGTGAAGCATAGTAAGGACCGTTATGTTGTTAAACATTTTGTATACTTTTAAAATTTCCTTTATATAGAATGGGTTATATAAAAAGAGTTTTATATCATGAAAATTAGCCATTTCTTAGAACTAGTAGATCTCAGATTTTAAAGCCAACACCATTACAGATGGGAAATTGTTAAGAACGTTAAGTACAGACCCATAATTGATGGTAAAGATATTAAAATACATATATTTTGCTTAGAAAAACTCCATGGGGTAAACTAGGCTTCATATACCTAAATTTACAAATAATGATTCAAAACTCAAGTACTTATAAAAATAAATGAAATACCAAAAAAAAATGTAATTTTAAGTAATATAATGTAGCATGATGGGAACTTACAGTATTTGGATAAAAGATTCAGCTCTACCACTTATCAGAGATCTTGGACAATCCTGTTAGAAATCACTAGCTCAGCTCCTCACCTGTAATATGCACATAGAAAACTAGCATCAAAATTTTTATTTTTAATTTTTGGGAGGTGGTGTTCTGGGGATTAAACCCAGGAGTACCTTACCACTGGAACCACTTCCTCAGGCCTTTTTTTAAATTTGTTATTGTCAAATAAGTCTCACTAAGTTGCTGTGGTTTCCCTAAATTGGTGACACTGGTCTTGAACTTGCAATCCTCTTCCTTAGCCTCACTAGGATTACCAGTGTGTGCCACTGAACCCAGCTAGCATAAAAAGTTTTAAGATAATGGAATGTACTGTGATTTCACATAATTATGTGAAAGTATTTTGTTAATTATGAGTAAATATAAGTCCTGTATTTGTGTAATGTGTTATTTTTTGGCTATGTGCATCACAGAGAAATTGGAAAATGGTACGCATATTACACTATTTAAGAACTTTTAACTTTTGTATTTACTAAGAATATTGTAGTAAATTTTGAGTAGTGGCTTTTCAGAACCATTTAGAACTTTGAATTTTTTTTCTTTATACTCAGACTTGAATATTTATTTTAACATATCAAAATAACTCTAGTTCTTAATGGTCAAAATCATAATGTCTAGCAGAATGTTTTGCACTATATCATAAGTAGTCAATAATTTTTTAAAAAATTAAACTGCAAAGCAGATGACAAAAGGGATACCAGATATACGTTTTTGGAAATGAAGTTTTTAGTTTTATGTGGAAAATTACACTAGACAATCTTTAGTCTTCTCTAACTTCAGTGGATTTAATTAGTAGAGATATATATGTCTTCTCTCTTTGACCTAATTTTATTTGCATATAAATATGTAAAATGGTTCAGTAACTTTACATTAGTCCATGTTATACCATGTATTTTTATAGTGTGAAGACAAATAATTATATACTGCTTCAATTTGGGGAAGCTATTTACATTTTACAGAATGTAAGAGAGAAACCTGAAGAGTGTTTGCATGGTGATAGCTATCTTAAGACCACTTCTAAGTTATTTCTACTGCTTGTGATTAGTGAATTCACATATGTTAATAATTTCAGGAGTTCGAGAGGAGAAAAAAAGAGAGAGAAGAAGCTCAAAGACTCTACAAAAAGAAGAAAATGGAAGTGTTCAAAATATTGAGCAAAAAGACTAGAAAGGGCCAACCAAACTTGAATTTACAAATGGAATATCTTCTTCAAAAAATACAAGAAAAAAGTTAAATCAGACATTTTTTTCCTAAGGAAAAATGATTAAGGGTTAAATTCTGCAAATATTTTTGTTCTTGTGAAAGAAAATTTTCTATATATGCTGTAGATTTTGTGACATTTATTTTCCTCTGGAAGAAGGATGACCTGAAGAACTGAAAGAACCTTCTATTTGAGAAACATGATCAAGCGTGTACTGCTTTTGTATCATATGATGTTTGTGAAATAAAAGTTTTAAAAATAAGAGTGACAGCTTTCAATGAAGCATTTCAAGTACATGTACCTGTTTCAGTTTGGTAATTAGCTACAGTATATCGCTTTTAAATTCATTTTGAAGAGAAGGAAGGCAGCGACTCCCTCAGAGTATTTAATATTCTATTTATTTTAAATTATGTATGCTATAGGAGAATGTATTTTCCAGACACCCAAGAATAGGATACCTGAGTGCTAAAATAACCTATTGCCATCATAACAAGGTAGGCTTGGTAAAGGAGTTTGGCTTAAGAATTGAGTCTGATTTTTATAAACATTCCTTAAGTGGAAGGACATAGCTTATTAGTGTAAAACCTTTTAAATTATTGTGGAAACCCAGCAGTGTCACAGTAAGAATAAAGCTTTCTAGATCCTATGGGAGGTACACCATGATTGCATGATCTCCATGTCACTCTGTTGGTGCATGCCCCGACCAGGACAAGCCAAGAAAGGTAAAGGTCAACTGGCCGCCTGCACCCAGCCCAGCTTATATACTGCACAGGAGCCAATCAGGATAAAGGTCAGAGGGGTGGAGTGAGTTCATGTGGGTACACCCATCCCATAGTCTGTAAGGGAAGGCACGAGCTGTCCAGAGGGCAGAAGAGTCCTGGACCTATCCTGGAGGTGGTCTGCCTTTTCCTTCACCACCTACAGCACCGCGTCCTGGCTGATCATCAGGCGCCATCCCAGACTGGGAAGTGGGCAGCAAGTCATGCCCTACAGTGTATTAGTAAGCTGAGAGAAAATACAACTGTTTCTTTGCCTGGTCATTGCAGCAAAATAATAAAAGTTTGACTATAGTCAGTGTAAGCAAAGAGATTGTACCATAACAGTTGTAAAGCATCGTATGTTTTTTTAAATGATAGCATGTGCAGTCTGAAATTGTGTTAAGGTTTTAGGGAGCCTTTTTGTCTAGTGATTTCTTCCTGCATTTGAAAGTACATTAGGGGTTGCTTAGGAAACACTAAATCTATTTTCTATTGCATAGCAAAATAATGCTCAGAAATTTACAATACAGTATATTGTACTTAAGTAGACTGGAAAGACTGCCAATATTTGTCTATGTGGGTGAAGACAATACATAATGATGCTGACTAAAAGATGGCAGTGATCTTTATAATAATTTCAAGCTTCTATTCCTCTAGATAGTTTAGTCATAAAACATGGAAGAAGATCTAGTTGTTTTGAGAAACGATTGAAAATTTAACTTTTTTGTTGGGCAGCTACTATATGCAAGATTATATTTGGAGATACTCTTAAAAAAAAAGATTACAAGGATCTTGCAGGGTAATAAATGTCAAGTAATCACATTTTAAGGCAAAAAGTAAACAGTGTCAGATACAAAACAAAAGATTCTAGTGAACTAGAAAATCACCCAGGGAGCTTCAATAAAACCATATCTGATGGCCCTGCCCTCAAAGATTTAGATAATATAGATGGGCTCCTCAGGGGACTTGTATGTACCACAAGAAAGCATCAGGCCGGAACCCCTGGAAAGATGTTTCATCTTAAGAAAACATGAAAAATTTCATTGGTGAATTGGCAGTTGAGAGGAGCCATCAAGGTTGCAAAGATTAGAAGTAAAAATACATAAGAAAAATTTAGAAAGGGAAAGAAAGTATTGAGTGTACTGAACTAAAAAATGTTATGAAATCTATTATTGCTAATAGGATATAACACTTTGTGTATATTCTGAATGTTTCCTTTCTTAAGTGGACACGAGTAGTCCAGCATTCCTTCCACTAACTGGTACTACAGGCACTTCCTGCAGTACTTGGTCTCTATGTTCATACCACTATAAATTTTATAAACAAAAATTGGCTGTATCAATGAAGAGTAAGAGGAGGATGGATGCAGAGCAAGGGGGAAGTCTATGTTTTGGAGAATGTAACATCTAATCCTTAATGCTGCATGGATCCAGTAAAACTTGAGGGAGCAGCATAAAAACAAACAGAGAGGCTTTGGGGTAGCCAGAGTCTGGTTTTAGGCTTTAGACTTTATACACAGACAGTTTTTATTTTGACATTTTGTAGGCACTTTTAGCAGACCATTGATTTGAATTTTTATAAATGTACAGTAAACTTTTAATTGTTGTAATTTTGGTAAAAGACTTGAAGCTCTTAAACTTGTGAGAATTTGATCTGAAAATGAGTGTAGCTTTGTCTATAGGAAATCAGTAGGGCTCACCCAGAGGGTGGCCTCCTGGATGGCCTCAGCAGATGTCAGCCAAGATGAGGTTTAGCAAGCTACCCTTGCTGTGCCATCATCAAGAAAGTCACTGGCAAGAGAAGGTAGCCTCAGATGCAGGCTGTTATGATTTGACCTTGAACTACATTAAATTTGCATGTTCAAGCAGCAGGGGCCTTATTAGATATTGGGAAGATTGGAAAGCCATCTCTTGCAGCAAGGATTTAATGATAGAATGTCTTAGGAAAGCTAGACATAATGACTATCAGTATTTGCTGCTTTTAAACTTCAAAAGAGATGCCAGGATTTAATGATAGAATGTCTTAGGAAAGCTAGACATAATGACTATCAGTATTTGCTGCTTTTAAACTTCAAAAGAGATGCCTTGTGGGCAGTTCTAGAGAAGCTTAAGTTTCAGATTGATTATGCCAGTCATTGAGTTGCAACTTTAAAGATTTTGCACATTCTAGAAAGCAAAGAATCAAGTGAAAGGTGTCTCATGATTGGTTACTGAACCACTGCAAATTCTATATTTGGCAAGATAGGATCAGTGTCTCTAACACTGTTGTCTGAGAGAAGACAATGTGCCATGCTGTGTTCATGGTGATAAAGTTAACTTCTTGCTGATAAATGTCTTCCAATTTAAGTGTGCAGTTGATTTGAATAGCATTCTATTGAACTAAAGCCACCACCAGCTACCTTCCTATAGGTCTGCGAGTTTCTGTTAGAGAGTTTATTAGATTATTATATTTGATAATAATAATGACTGGGAGCATGATTTTGTACAGGGTAAATGCCCTTTAAATTTGATAAGTGTGAGGTTAGTGTGATTATCTTCAGCGTTTTATTACTCTTTGGGCCTTCTAAAAATTAAGGCCCACTCTAGACTTAATGTGGAGTTGATTTAGACTTTAAGGAGCTCATTGAGTCACATCTATTCTTAAGAAGTCACCTAGGCTGCAGATAATGAAGAAAGCTACCTAGACATTAAGAACATTTCTGGTTGTGAGGGGATGAAATCAACAGAAAGAACTTTAATTTTGCTGAATTCTTAACCTTATAACAGCAGGTGGATTTAATTCTGGTGTTTGTTTTTTTCTTTGTCTTCAGACATTAACTGAAAAGGTAATTTAATATATACCTCATTTTCTTCCTCTAGGAGTTGGATAAGGAGAAAAATGTATGCTAAAGTGGGGAACATTGATGTTTACTGGCATTTTGCTGGGTTCTCTTTATGTATTTGTATATTCCCATTGAGAACACCTAATTGAATCATACATAGAGCTGATATAGAGCCCTATGGAAGAAATGCAAACCTCACAGGGCTGGTGGCTAAGTTTTACAAACAGATTAATTAAAGTCTATTTTATTATATGTAATTTGGGGAGTTTTGACACATGTACGCACTCATGAAATCTTCACAACAATCACCATCACCTCCCAAATTTACCTCATGGCCCTTCCTAATCCTAGTGGCTCAACAAACTGAAACAAAGAGGCCCATGATCTGTTTTCTGTTATAATATAGTCTAAATTTTCAAAAATTTTATATAACGAAAACTACATACTCTTCTCTATTTTTGTCTAGCTTTTCTAATTAGCATAATTATTTGGAGGTTTATTCGTGTTATTGTATTATCAATGGTTTGTTCCTTTTATCACCACAGTTTGCTTATTCATTCACCTGTAGATGGCTGCGTGGGTTATTCCTAGTGTTTGGATCTCAGAAATAAGGCTACCATGCAACAAATAAATGAAAAACTGTCCAACATCTATAGCAATTAGACAAATGCAAAGTAAGACTCACTGAGATTCCATCTCATTCCAGTCAGAATGGCATATGAGTAACAATAAATCCAAGAATACAAGTAAAAATAAATGTTGGTAGAGATGTAGGGGGAAAGATACACTCATACATTGCTGGTGGGCCTGCAAATTGGTACAACCATTCTGGAAAGTAGTATGGAGATTCCTCAGAAAACTTGGAATGGAACCACCATTTGACCCATTTAACCCCATCCTGATCCTCAGTATATACATAAAGGACTTAAAATCAGCATACTACAGTGACATATCCACATCAATGTTTATATCAGCTCAATTCACAATAGCTAAGTTATGGAACCGACCTAGGTCCGATTCAATAGATGAATAGATTAAAAAAATGTGGTATATGTACACAATGGAATATTACTCAGCCATGAAAAGAATGACTTTATGATATTTGCAGGTAAATGGATGAATCTAAAGACTACCATGCTAAGTGAAATAAGCCAATTCCCAAAAACCAAAGGCCGAATGTTCTCTCTGATATGTGTATACTAACATACAATAAGGGAGAGGAGGAGAAGTTCACATTGGATTAGACAAAGAAAAAGGAGGGGAGATAAGATGGGATTAGGAAAGAGAGTAGAATGAGGGGCTGGGGATGTGGCTCAAGAGGTAGCGCGCTCGCCTGGCATGCGTGCGGCCGGGGTTCGATCCTCAGCACTACATACAAACAAAGATGTTGTGTCCGCCGAAAAGTAAAAAATAAATATTAAAAAATTCTCTCTCTCTCTCTCTCTCTCTCTCTCTCTCTCTCTCTCTTTAAAAAAAAGAGAGTAGAATGATTTGGACATAACTTTCCTATGTTCATATATGAATACATGACCAGTTAATCTCCACATCATGTAAAACCACAAGAATGGGATCCTAATTAGGATGTTATATTCCATGTATACATGTCAAAATACATTCTATTGTCACATATATCTAAAAAGATCAAATTTAAAAAAAAAGCTACCATGAATATTCGTGTCTAAA